TGTGTGTGTGTGTGTGTGTGTGTGTGTGTGTGTGTGTGTGTGTGTGTGTGTGTGTGTGTTTGCACGTACACAATTCATAAGGTATGCAAAGGTGGTGCAGTATTGTCATATAATTATTTACTAATTGCCTTACCTGGACCTGGAACAAAAGTGTGTAGATACTCCCCAATGCAACGGACAATTCCAACCTACCAGCCAAATCTCATATATATTAAAGGTGTTTAGGTGGATCCACACATGACAACAGGTGGAGTCCCGATGGCCGAGCAGTTGTTCCTGTTATACTTTGCAGTCTGCTGCCTGGGTGCATGAGTAGTCGGTGTAATCAAAGTCTCTGTGGAAGACGGAGTGAGTAAAGTAAATTTCGCTCACTGTTCGACCCAAATGGACCCTAGTGGACTCGCTGATGGAGAAAGTTTAAAACACACGTAACAATGTAGCTGTGATATGCTACATGCAAAGCAACTGTGGGCACGTCTCAGGTTCATTTTACTCAGCAGCATCCATGGAGGTGAAGAAAACCTCATTTTACTTATGAAGGGGCGTCAAACAATGACACAGTCATCTGCACAGTCCGAGTCTGTGTCTAACAGGGACCGGCCGTCCGCCATAAAGCGATGAGCGACAAGCCCACGAACTGAAGCTCGGTCACAGTCAGAGCACATCAGCTGGTCCCCACGTCAGCTGACGATTTACAGTTGCTAACTCTTACACAGGGAGCTGTGTTTAAGCTGCTTGAGCCTGCACACAGATGCTGGACATCTGGAAGGGAGTTTGCAGCCCACCTCCACCCCAGCTCTTTCTTTCATGCTATTTCTGAATTGTCCTATCTGTCGTCATCTGTCCTGTGGTGGGATCTTGTTGTTGCTCTCCCCGCCTAAGGCTTTTCATGTGTGCACATGGAAAGTGGAGGTTCTCAAATAGATGCCGCCAAATATAAATGGCTGCAGATGGAAACATCATTTTCTTTTGACTGTTGTGGTCTCAGCTGAAGTAGCAGTTACCGGATAACATGTTTGCCTCTGTAGTTAAATTGTTTAAATGCTCAGCGTACAAAGGTCGCCCGCAACACTCCAAGACAGACAAGAGCTACGTAAAGCTCACATGGATGTGTGGCAGGACCTCCGTACTGCATCTGCACCACCCGGCTCACGACTGCAACGGCTGTAGTTGTCACTCATGCACAGCACATAGGTCTGAGGTATTTTAGCTTTACTTTATATAGTAGGAGGCCGCTGTGATGGATCTTTATATATATGTATGTATGTATATGTATATGTATATGTATATGTATATATGTGTATATATATATATGTGTGTGTGTGTGTGTGTGTTTATGATATGATCATATACATGTCCATAAACCCAGCTTCTGATGCTCCTACACTGAATTATAATCATAGTCTGTATCATAGCCAACACCAGGGTGAAGCAGTTTCGGTGTAGGGTTAGCACGAGGTTGTATTTTAGCCACATGCTCTCTTTCATGCATCATGGCTTCACAGTTTGTCTCTTACAGGGTTTCTGTTTCAGTTATGCCATGTAGATGTGCACGTACCCTAACCTCCCAGCAACCTGCCAGATTTAAGAGGTTCAAATTTGTGCTAGATGGAAAATTGGCTACAATTGCAGATAGAAGCATCCATGCCGTGATGTTTTCAGCTCTAAAGGGTTCTTCCTTTTAGCCAGTCATCCAAATATAGAGGCAGGAACACTTTGTAGATGTGCATGACACGGGTGCTCTTCAGTGGCACTTGTGTAAATCACATAGACCAGATTAAACTCACTCTTTGTAAATATACTCCAGTGTGTCCCGGGATACTGTGTGCAGGTTCTGCTGCCTGGCTCACAATAATGACAAATGGTTTTTAGCATAACAAATGCCAGGCCGAGCTGTCATTGGCTGCCCTGATGCCACCGGGTAAGCAGTGACATGTCATCCCTCTGGATCCAGATACTGTTTATGCCACTGAAAACTTCATGTTTTCCCTTCTACTGTTTATTATCCTCACCTTGACCCATACACCAAAAATAGCTTAAACTCCACTGTGGCTGCTCGTTTTGCAAACGACCCAGCCAAATTGTAATGTAGGATTAGCAGACTTCTCAGTCTGCGCTGATAGAATCTTGTTGGCAAGTCACCAGGTGACTTAAAATATCACTGAAGCCCTCTGCCAAAACAAACCACTGCATGTTACCAGTGACCTATAATGAAAAAGAAACAAGACAGATCAGCAGCCGACAAAATAACTGTTCTTCTTTCACCTGCATTCCGAGCACAGCTTAGTATTTACAGGAAATGGTCAGCGTTACACTGATGTCTCTGCGCTGAACAGTTTTATCTCCCCTCTCTCTTTACTCGTCCAGTCTCTGAGCCTAACCTGAAGGTGCGTTCACGCTTGAAGCAAAAGGTGGCAGAGAGGCGGAGCTCCCCTCTCCTCCGCAGGAAGGACGGAACTGTCATCAGCACCTTCAAGAAGAGAGCCATAGAGATATCAGGTGAGCAGAGACGCTTACGTTTTCATTCTGAGAAGAAGTGCAAATAAGCTCTCAGGAGTGTTTAGTGTGAATAGCTGCTTTAATCAGAAATTTAAAATGAATTTGCTGCTCATTTATTCCTGTGTCTGTGTCTCTCCACCAGTTTCCTCTCTCTGTAACAGTGCTCCGGGGTCAGGTCCCAGCAGTCCCAACAGTTCCAATACAGCTATTGCCAACGGCAATACTGGATCAGTCCCCAACATACAGACTGAGGTACACGTGCACACACACACAGGCTGGCTTCATTTTCAGTTCTTCAAACTCGACACGAAGCTCGAGTTTGCCCCCTGCAGTTCAGTGTGGAGCACTGAATCAAAAATGACGATATGGGGGAAACTGTAACAGGCGACATGTAAGCAGCTGTGTGAAAGTGATGATTGAGCAGCAAAAGGCAGCATTTAATCACCTTGAACTTTGGCAGGAACTCTGGCTTTGCCCCTGTGTTGTCTTCTTTGCTGTATCTGCAGAGTGTTTCTGCGTGTAGTTGTGCTTTCTGTTCTGTACGTTGTGTTTGCTGTGCATACTTTGATGCTGTTTGGGTCACAGCCAAAGTATAAACCATTTTAGCACTGCAATCTTGGAAAAGAAAACATTCTCGAATTTTTATTGTTTGTCAAATGTCAAAGATAAAATTGCTCACTTTGACGCAGAAATAGGGCTGCAAAAATACTAAGTTATAAATATCTAACTGTACCTTTAGTGGTTCAGAGCTAGTCACTGGAGGGAAACTCTAAAGTACTCCCTGCACCCTGGAGGGGGGATTTTATTTGTACCCTTGTGGTTTGTGCTTACAGAAACAAATCTTGAACCTCTAATTACAGTTTCACAATAGTATAACAGAATAAAAAGAGACATTTATAAAAGGCCACAGAAAACCCAGAATCGTTTTGCTGTGAGGCATCTGCACCACCCCTACAAGATCAAACTTCTGTAATGTCTACAATTATTTTTGGAGAAAATAAAGCAAAACCTACAAATCTAAATGTAAAATTATAATTTAACATAATTTCTTTTTTTATTTGACAGAGTATTGATTCTCGATACTGGAGAATAAATTCAAGAAGAATTTGAAGTATGTAGCCTTTACTACTCGTGAATGAGGTACAGTGATTAGTGTTAAAGGGTTTCAGTGGAATAATACACTTTTCCTGTGCCCTTATTTTTAGGAATGTAGAGTGTGTGATGCAAATTACATAGGTCCCATAATGGAACCCTGTGGTACACCACCAGATGTGCCATATCTGCAATAGGTTTTGCTGTTTTGTTGATAAGAAAGAAACTATACTAAGATGATATCTAGAGTTCACCTAACAGACAAACCGTAGTTGTAGCCTCAGCAGAGTTGGTTGGTTTTGATTGGTTATTTCAGTATATGACTTTAAAGACACATGAAAGGATTCCCCTGACATTTTTTATGTTTTGGTTGTAGGTCTTTATGAAGATAATATGACAAATCAGTTAAATAATCATGTTTCGGATTACTCATTTACACTCATTGCCACTTGAATTAACTGGTTGTTGTGTTTGGCTACAAGCAGGTACGCAGAACGCCCTCTGGTGGTCAAACTATCCAACATCAATGCTCATAACATGGTTTCCTGTCTCTTTACCTTTTGAGTTTTCATTTGTTGGGCATTATAAACACTGATACTGAGATATCAGTCGGGCTCTAGTTAGAGATTAAAGACAAGCATGGCCAAAGACAGTGTGATTTCATTTTTTCATTTTATTCCAGAGGCATATTTCTAAGGGTGGTGTTGAATATGGATAATATACTGGGCACAACTGTATCAAATGCATGTTGAAGCAGGCTGTATGGAGTAATTCTTAAAGGCCTTCAAGGCTGACAAGACTCCTCTGTTTATTTAAGTTGAGCGAGTGTGGAACAAATGCCATGGAAGTTTCCTGTTTTTGTGCTCTTCCAAGAAACTTCCAGGAAATGGTCTTCTTCTATAACAAGAAGAAGAAGCAGTTAATTATAATTTGCCCAAGTATGTGCTAAATTGAACAAACTGAGTTCTCCCTGTGCAGGACACTAAAACTGCTTGCGTGTTTGTTTTTCTGCAGCTGAGGTCTCTCCATCAGACGCTGGGGGCTGATGGGACATTGAGTCCTCTGAGTCTCTACACCTCACCCTCCCTGCCAAATATCTCGCTGGGCCTCCCTGCCAACACACATATCACGGTGAGTCACTGCGGTGCATGTACCCATCGACACAAGAACACACAAACACACACTATACACCCCCACACTGATGGACTCGCCACACACACTGTTACACAGTAACCTGTAGTTCTATAAGTATCTGCGTATCCTGTTTTTTCTGAGCTTGGTTCTGGTGGAGGTTTCTTCCTGTTAAAAGGAAGTTCTTCCTTCCCACTGTCACCAAATGCTCAGTCATAGACAGTTGTGGGATTGGTGTGATTGCTGGGGTTGCTTACCTCTGCAGGTTCTTTACAATATAAAGTACCTTGTGCCAGCTGTTGTTGTTAAATGAAGCTGTATGAATGAATTGGGAAAAGGTTTACTGAGGGTGTCAATCAGTCATTTGCCAGTGACTTCTTTCCAACTGGCCTCCTTGTGGTGAGCGTAGAAGTCGCCTCCTTGTTGCTTTGCTTTTTAAACCCAGGAGTTTCGTCTAGCTGACGTGCACTTTTGTTACAAAGCAGTCAGTCTTACTCACTTACACTAAGTGATCCATGAAGCAGTGGCTCTTCTTTTTCTATATGTGTGTAGTTTTCCACACAGAAGTAAACCAAAGGAGGCCTTTTTATTTCCATGACTGTTCATTTTGGTGAGGGATCACTTCTAGCTTGCATGTGTAAGCGAGTGCTATCCTTAAAATGTATGATTTGGTTAAAAGCTCTTTCTCCAGTGGGATTTTTATGTCTGCACATTTCTACACGAACCCAGTGGAAATATATCCATAGGCTGCTTCTTATGGAATACATGGAAACAATAAAGAGTCCTATTCTTGTGTTGCAGTGTAAAGCTAGTTATTCCTGCATTTTCATAAAGGTAAAATATGCTAAGACAACCAAACACGGTGTTGAGACTCCTTTGGTCTTGGCTTTGGATACA